TTAACGAAAATGTGTGTTTAAATACACTTTTGCAATGTATCATTCCGAAATTTAATAATATTTTATACCCAATTAATTAGCCGTCGGCGTTTCTTGTGGTACTGAGATTATGATATGGCATAAAAATAGATTAGAGAATTATTACTAAATCCACCTATTTTCTTCTATAAATCAAAATTCATAAATCCTTTCATGAAATTTTACCTATCCAATGGTTGAAGAATACCCACGACCATACTCCTTCTTCTTATTATTCTGGAATCCCGTCTTAGTTGGCTTACCAAGGACAATTAAAACAATATTCGTGAAGATAACAAGGTTACCCCCTTATGAGTCCATTATTTGTTTTACTCGTTATCGAATACAAACCGCTATATTTGCCGCTAGCGGTAGGCCCCCACCGGAATTTACGCCGGCTTTGCGGACAATAGTTTATGGTCGTATATTAGCCAATCGGATGTTAACAAAAATTTTGTGGTGATGTGTTAGAGCTAAAAGATTATTTAGATTTATATACTATTTATATATTGAGGAATTAGATAAATAACCCTTTCGAGTCGTTAAATATACATTTATAATACACTAATATGGACTATATATCAGAAATGGAATATTTAAAACCGACAAACGAAATAATTCTAGTTTTTCAAACACCAAATAAATTCTTTTCATTCATTATATTATCATAATCCATAACTAAATCCAAAATTGTCTCTTTGGTTCATTGAAATATTACTTATTCAATATTTATATAAAATATTGATAAATAAATTAATGAATTTAATTTTCCATCAAAATAATAAAACGATTATAACAATCGCCTACTCAAGGTATTCGCCAAAACTCAAATATTTATTAAAAAATCATAAAATAAATGTTAATTCCTAAAATAGAATTTTATAAAATAATTATATCCAATTAAAACATATATATATATATATTAATTAATATTGTTATTATAATATTTCCATTAACAAAATAAACAATTAGATTGAATTTGCTACATATATAACATATTCCTTCTATATATATAAAAATATTATTTAATATTAAAAAAACAATAATATATTATTATTTAAATAAAAAAAGAGAATATATTAAAATTAACTATCATTATTATTATTATGAATTCTTTATATATTATATTAATTTTTTTTATACATGATAAAATTGGGTAATACCCATAATACTATATAATGTTCGCTTGTAATATTCGCACTACTTTGCAACCTTTGTGGAACCTTAATAGTTACTAAAATCCTGGCGGAATCCTTGTGGAACTTTGTCTTAAAGCCGCTCCAAACCACTCCAGAACCTATTTGGATTAAGACTTCCAAAACCTACAACTATTAAAAAATACAATAATACCATATCTTAATCCAATTCATATTCCCCCATCATTTTCACTAAATATAATATTTCGAATATAAAAATTATTTTTATAGTAAATTCTTGTTTTTTATATTTCTTTCAATATTTCTATAATATATTATTAATTCCCTCAGAGCCCAAAGGCCTTTCGAAGATAGGCCTCTGACAAGAGGCCTCAAAAAGGCCAAAAGGCCTTATTGAGTATGATGCTGAATATATGTGTTGAATAATCATGTTTTTTTTAGGACTCCCCAGGACCCCCGTTTTGCTAAAAAATCACCGCTTCGTTTAGTAACACCAACCAAAATGCACATGAATCTATAATTTATATTATATACATATATATTCTACCCATGCAAAAAAATCGCTTGGGTTGATCATATGTCTGTTTCGCTATCGCTGCATCTTCAGAGAGCATCTAAACCAACGCGAGTTGAAAAAGAGAGCATGGATTAAGCTCCACCAAACGTCCACGCAAACAAAAAATCCAAGGATTTCAAATTCGGACAAGCCCCCAAACAAAACACGTCCCGGATCGTATCAATTCAGGGGTACCCTCAAATATACACCTGTCCACGCGCAAACCATGACTTTTCGGGGCCGTTCCACGACTTTTCGAGACCTTTCCACGGGTAATCCACGGGTCGTACACGATCCAGGCGGTACCCAACCACAAATGCATTTATTATTAAACAAATCGAATTTAATCCCAGGAATGCCTGTGAAATCACACATATATAATCTGAATTGCTACCTGCCAGGAATGCCAAACATCAATATCTCCTAGCTAATGGGCCAGCTGCCAGAAAGGCTCACAGCCGCTCAGGGGCGATTTCCAGCGACTGCATCCCCTCTAACACCCTTCGAGAAAAAGGATGGCCCCAAAGATAATTAAGATTGCCATACATACTTTTCAAAGCCTAGGCCTTAAAAAAGAACATGTTACTTAAGGCCGAAGGTCTCACTTAGTAAAGCCTACGGCCTTACTTAGCAAGGCCCGGGAGTCTCCAAAAGTAAACATCTTTAACAAAACAAGGCCTATAATATATATATATATATATTATAAACACCATAATATATTCTATTTTTAAATAACAAAATAAATAAAACCCCTATAATTCATATGTTTCCCAAATATATCCAAATATCATATTTATAACAAAACCATTCATCTCAAAACAAAATAAAAAAAATAATTCGACAACCGACCATAACGATTTCTAAATAAATTATTCCTTAATCAATTATCCAAATTTTAATTAAAATTCATACTAGAAATTTATCAATTCAACATATAAACCTAAAACATCAACAATAAATCATCAATTATATTATAATCACCTTAGAAAAAACTTCACAAAATACAAAAATACAAATAACACAATATAAATATGGTTTAATTAAATATATCAAACCATAATAATCCATAATCCATAATTATTTTATAATAATCAATATTAAATATATCAAATCATAATACAATAACCACAATATTCATATAAGGCACGGTCAAAATTACTTACTTACGGCCATTTCGCTATTTACTTTAAGAATCCCCTATCATTTTCCAACATATCAATCATTTTCCAACAATATCATTTTTTTAAGAATTCCCTATCATTTACCATGGTTTTATGTATTTTCATAATATCAACGAAATAACAAATACTAAACTCAACAAAAATAATTTTAACAATGCTTCATATAACAATATACAACATCAAATCCCAATAATATTAAAATAATATAATTTATTATTCAAACCATTCCAAATCAACTACAATAAATATTATCATTCAACAAAAACAAATATTCAATTTCAATAAAATCCAAACAACTATCAAACAAAACAAACTTAACAACAAAATCAAAGGCTCATTTAAAACATAATTTCCTTAATTCAAATATATATCCATTAACCTTCATTAAAGAACACTATATATATATATATTATCTAAATTGATTAATAATACAATCATTGATTTCAAATAATATCAAATATTTAATATCCCATATATAACAGTTCTCCTTGATATAATTTTAATCAGTTAAAACAGTATCATTTTCAGTAAGTCTTTATTCATATAGAACGGCGCGACATGAAGCGACGCGCAATTTTTCGCATTCGCGGAGTTATTCGTCAATCTGCTGCATAAAGTCCTGTCGGCAAAACGGGCACAGCCTCATCTCCACCCGGCTTCTTGCAAGGGCAAAAAATGTTCTGTGGCTGGAAGGCTCGACTTCCACGACTATTACTCCCCCATCCCCTGTTGGTTTGCAATAATGACGTTACGGGCAAATTACTCGGCACCCAGTGTAGGTTAATTATTCGTATTCGTGGTTGAGGGAAGCACGAGGGGCAAGTACCTTTGAGTTGGACAATCCGCCTCTACATGTTGCCACCCTGCAAAGCTTCATTCAAAAGGGACATGTCGTGGAGCCCCGCAACCGATTACTCACTGAATTCGTTGCCCCTAGAGAAAGCCGAGTTGACTTTTGAGTTGTGGAGCTGCCGCCCTGAAGAGGTTCTGCAATGACGGGTTAACTTGTTGAGGGTTTGTCCAGGGTTGATTCCTCATCAGTATTCGTTGGATTTTAAGCATCAACGGAAGAGAAGGAGACGAAAGAATGGGGAAGGTGCCCCCAGAGGTGCGCAACTGTTTCAAGCTGGGCTCTCTCTTTTGTTTGTCATTTGAGCGACTCTACAAACCTCCCATGAATCCCTATGTCGTATCAAGTTGCTTACGCGAGCTTGCGCGTTCCTTACGCGACCCATGTTTTAGCTTACGCTGCTGTCAGCGAGCACGTTAAGCTTACGCATCGCTTACGCGTCTGCGTTTTGAGCCTTTCCCCTCAAGAATTGCTTACGCGGGCTCTTTTCTCATGCAGCCGCCGGAACTGTTCAAGATGATGTGGATGACTCCGAGGAAGTGGCCTTGCTGTTCTTACTGCAAGTCAAGAACGGGTTGTGCGACAGCGGCATCCATGGCGAGGGCTAGTGGGCAGCCGAGTAGGCGAGCTTACGCGAACCTTACGCGCCTGCTTACGCGAGCTTACGCAGCCGAGCACCTTTAGTTTTCCTAAATCGCGGTTTCAAAAGCCTTTTGTTGTGCTCGTAAAGGTCTCAACAGCACTTAGCATGAGCCCCCAGAGCTCCCAATCAAATTTATGCTGGTTTTGTTTTCTAATGGCGCGCACATGCGGTCTTAGACGTCTTCCTGCAGCCAAAGTCTCCGGGCAAGTTGCCAAGCTCGACTTGGTTGAAACAGCACAAGCCACCAATAAACCCATAAGCACATGTGTGAAACCACTCTTCCGAGCATGCTTACAAAGCTCACGAAGCAATCACGAAGAAGAGCTTACGCAGATGCTTACGCGGCATGTTTCCCAGAAAAGTGCTTACGCCGGCTTACGCCGTGCAGGGTTTTGCTTACGCGGGGCCTTGTTATGACACAACTCTTGCTTGGGATGTAACGGGGGGTTTTTAGAGCTGCTCATTTGAGGTTGAAAAGAAAGGACATGAAGTAGCAGCCTGTCAAGCAGAAACTTCCACATGCGTTGAGGATCACCTCTTGAATGGAAAACCCCTATTTAAGTCGAGGGTTCCCCATCCGCACCCCTTCAGATTTGCCTCAAAGTATTTGCCACACGTGCCAAGTGCCTGGCATCGGATTCGACTTGACATCAGTTTGCCATGTTATGTTTCACTAAGCTCAACTCCGCTTCTACAAAAGAATCAATTTGTCAAGGGTGACACGGATGCGGCGACCCGACCATCATCCACAAGATCTGAATGCTGGAGCATGCTGAACATGCTTCAATCAAATAGTCCTGGCTCCATCATTCCAAAATGACTTCTTTTCTGGATGCCCCGTTCTCCACAATGTACCCAGCCATGGCTGGCGCGGCTGGGCTCTGGAAAGCTGAGTGTTCTTCAAGCGGATAGGCATAGACCGAGAGTGGCTCACCAGGCGGTCCGTGGTTGGCACTGATGACCCACGAGTCTCTCAGCACCTCAGTGCGACGCGGGTACCCATCTTTGCCAGTTGGAAGAATCACCGTCGGCTCTGGCAACTTGCTCATGGAGGACAGAGCCCCAGACTTGCTGTCAGAGAAAACATAGATCTTGCCAGGAAGAGCCGGCTCCCCGCCGCTGTTGCTGCCGTATCTGTCGGTGGCAAGCAACTCCGTCTCAGTGCGCTCCACATTCCACCTGGAAATGATGTCAGCGCCTCCATCTCCGGCCACCACCTTGTCAGTGCCTCGATTGGCAAGCGTTCCCATCAGGGTGGCTTTCAAAGCTACGCTGTCAGCTGTAGCAGTCACTTCAAACTTGTAGATCTTCGTGGGCAGAGGGCAGGTTTCCTGAGTGAGACCCCAGATCACATTTGAACTCTGGAAATTGGCGTCGATGTGAGCGGATCTCAAAGAGATTCCCGGGGCGCCAGCCACCTCTTCATTACTGATGACGTGCTCAAAGCGCAGGGTCTTCTTGTTGAACCACAGGAGACCGCGGCCCTTCCATCCGCTTGGTCCCCAAATGTTTCCAAGATGGTTCACAAAGACTTCGTTTCTTTTCTGGCCATTCTTTCCAATGTTCATCACCTCAACGTTGTGAATGAAGTCATTTTCGATGTCACCATAAGGGTAGCACTGGACTGCATCAGAAGAAGCGCTCTTCACGTCAAGCACTGCCAAGCCTGCCTTGAACATTGCAAAATAGATTTTGCCATTGCTGTCGTCAAAGGAAGCACCCACAGGCTGCGTGATCTTGCCCGAGCAAGTTAAATCAACCACGGGTTGCGCAAGCTTCAACGGTCTATCACCAGGTGCCTGAACACATGGGTCGAAGATGTAGAACTTCGAGTGGTCTTCGGACGTGACCCCCACACGGTTCTCGCCCTTCTCATTCACAAAGTTCAGGGCCCAACTGAGAGACCCCGCCTTCTTTCCTCCATCTGTGACATCCCATCTGGCCTGCACCTGGTGCTCCTTGTGCTCAATCTTGTAGGCGAAGATCTGATCATCGCCAGTGGCAAAGTAGTCGTAGAGGTCGCAAGTCTTCCTCTTCAGACCCTGAACTGCCCAACCAGCAGCGACACTCAGGATGAGGCGGAACATTGTGAGTCTTGGTAGTACGTACTAGTTCGTTCCCTGATGAAATGCTGTGCGGAGACAAGCAAAGCACTCGATTCGAACGCAACAAGAGCATCGTCAGCGACAAGCACGGCATCAGAAACATGGTTTCTGCGCCCTCAAACCAAAAACACAAACATGAACAAACCACACAACAAGCAACTGAGTAGGGAAACGGGATGACAACAGGTGTGAGCAATGCACTTGCAAGCCTGGATTGTTGCGGCTCTTGGCGCAGCCGTAGCATTGCACCACCTGCAAAAATGGACCCGATTGACTATTGGTCAACGTGGATAGGCAGAGAGAACCTCGCTCACTTGAGCTACATGAGAGGTTGGGTACCGGCCAGATCAAGTTGCGAAACTCTGAGGCACGCTCTGTGCTTCTGTCACCAACATCTTGCCGAGCAAAAGCCCATGTCACTGTGAAGGCGGCAAATCTGACTTCCCCTGCATTCTTGAAGCCAACATGCTTCGCTCTGGACCACGACAATCGCCGCTGCAAGGGCATCTCGAATTCACGTAGACGCACGCACAAACACGCACACACAGGGAGACACAAATACACAAACAAACGCACACAAAGGATACCCTCAAACACCGAACCCATTTCGCCCCCAGTTCTCCGTCCGATTTCCCCGACGTCGGCCAACACATCCGACCGCCCGCTCCGCAAAGGCCCCCTCGATGTCCATCTTCTCCTTCGCTCTGGGCGCCTGGAAAGGCCAAGTCACCAGGATGGCAAAACCCGCAGCGAAAGCAAAGGTCCAGTGGAGAGGTTAGAATATGGGTAGTCTATTTTAGTAGGGGAACCCTCCCCCAACAAGGGTAAAAGGGCACTGAGAAAGCCTAGAAAGGGATGACAGGGGAGTTGTGCCATCTTTCACCCACAGCACACATTTCTGCACCAGTTGCTTGGTGGATGTTGGTGGTTTATCCCAGCACAGTTTCATCCATCCCAATAGGTGCGAGCTAATCTGGCAAATCGCTGGGTCTAGGGATTTGGACCCCCCTTTTGGAAAGTAAGCAAAAAAACGAAAACAGATTGGAACCAGACAACAATTTCAGGTGGGAACTCAAACACCAAAAGGATGGCACAAGCAAACTAAAAGCAGAGAAAATGAGAGCCACAAGCAAACCCATAAGAAGCAAGAGCCAGCAAAACCAAAAACAAAAAAGCACACTTAAAGGAAGCCATATGGCAAGCAACAAGACGCAATTTAAGAAAACCAAAAGCACGCAAAGGGGGGGGGGGGAAACAAACAAAAAATGGGGGGTTTCTGAAGGTGGATCCCGCGCCAAGATTCCTCTACTCTGCGTTGTTTGCTTTTGGGCACAGTACCGGAATCTGCAATGCGCAAAGTCCTGCGTGTGTTTGCCTCCCCTTACAGAGTCCCGTGCTACTTTTACATCAGCGCTTGGTTGTCCGAACGCTGCTGTTTCTTCTGATTTAATCTCCTGCTGGCAGGAGGAGTCTCTGCGATGCTTACCTTTGCAACGTGTACAGGGTTGTGCCCATGCGACAATTCTACGTCTTCAGCGCAGCAAGCATGGCAAAAGGCGTTCTGCTCAGTTTCCGTCTCCTCTGCTGACTCTGGCTGTGCTACTTCGTGTTTTGTTCCGTCTTGAAGCAAAGAAACTGCAAACTGATGGCAGGCCACAAGAACACCCAAAGCAAAGACACACACACACACAAGAGCATAAACACACCAAATGAAAGCAAACAGAAACACACATGAAACCAAAAAGTCGGTTTCTTGGTCCGGGGCATTCCCTTTTCATGTCCATCCTTTCCAGCCAACCAAAAGTCCAGGGAAAACGGATTGAACTGTTGAATGGACAAAACATCAGAGATAACCACGAGAACACCCTGCAACCAGGAACTGCGCTGCTACAAGGGCCAAATCAACTAGAGTGCGTTTGAGTACTCCCACATCAGTTTTGCGTGCTCACTTGATCCAAACTCAAAGGTTGCAGCACCGAACTCTGGAACATAACCCTCAAACTCCGGAAGTCTTTACAAGGTCGCTTCCGCGCTGCCACAAAAAATGAGCCTCTGTGAAGAGCAGCTTCTTCCGGGTCTCCTGAAGCTTGAGCCAGCACATCCGTTTCGCGCCAAAGACCGACACATTTATAGATTATATATGTAAATCCTAGGTTCCCTTTTAATTGTCACCCTTAAATTGTCATGATCGTTGTACGCAACGTGGGATGAGTTCAAGGTAAATGCATATCATATAGATGCATTGACATCTGAACAACGACGTTGTTGTTTTTTACTAAATTGTGGTCCGACATTGCAAGCAGCCAGAATCCGCTGAAGGTGGATTCCATGTTTTGCGGAGTGACCATTTGTCGGGAGGGGCCAGTTCTTATTGGGCGTCACAACCTCCATTTCCAACAACCAGCATATGTGCTCTTCGGAAAAGCGCTCCCTGAACCGATGTTTTAAACTAACCGTTTCTTTCCCTGCCAAAGTGCAAGGAACACCGCCAAGGACATTTTATCAGGATTCTACTTCTGATCAGAGAACACTTGACGCAAGATCAGACCAAGGATGCACTTCCATTCAAAGGACGTACGGAACCCATTTTGCAAAGTCTACAATGGACTACGACTGAAGTCAGGGGTCCAATCCATAAGCAGCACCCCCGCTGTTTGGTGAGCTCCAAAGTGGGTCCCTAACAACTCAACGAGCCAAACGGGTCATCCCAAAGTCACTCATGGGCACAAGTCCAGAAACCAAACCCGCGAAGCGCGTTTCGGGATTTAGAGCTCGATCACAGTCGGCACCCGAGTGAAGACATCAGGCATTAAATGGCCACCTCCGGGATGAGAGGAAATGGGGGCCCGGGGCCCGGGACAAATTGTTTGGAGTTCAAAAACAAAGCTCTAGGGGTCCCTTCCCCATTCTTTCCAGGCATCCTTCTTTCTAAAAAACCCACCCAAAACACTGGAAAACCGGATCCGGTTTTTGGAAAGAACAATGGTTGAAAAGAATGGGGAATCAACCCCTAGAAAAGCCCCTCTCCCAAAAAATGGACAGGGAACTGCTGGTCTGGGGCTAGGCCAATCGAAGGCGCGCCTGGTTCAACGAGGCGGATGACGCCTGGAGGACGCCCCCTGCCACCTGTCGCAAGCTTTGCCCATTGAAGGGAGCTTCGTAGGCGGGTGCACTTTGAAGTACACAGAACCCAACGAACCCTCAGTTTTAGGAATCTCCGACATGAGATCAACCTGCAAGAAGGCAAATCAATGCCCAAATCTCTAGACTCGTATTTTTTCCAGGGCATCTTATCTGTTGCCTATCCTCACTTCATCATCATCAATGCATCAAACATGATGAACACATAAGATATGGAGGAAAGTGAGCCAATACATCGAGTGAGACGAGAGTGAGTCAGTTCATCATCATTCATCATCTTAACTTCAATATATATATATATATATAAATGTATAATACCGGAAAGTGTAATCCCTAGAAATATTATGTTCACCACCCGCGCATCCCATTCTCACCATTTGCTGCTGGGAAGATACGCAGACAAACACACGTAGACGCAAAGGCACAGAGGCACAGATTCACAGAGACACAGACACACACCTAAGACCTCCAGCCATTTAATTACTGCTTCACTTTGGACTCTTGTGGATTCGTGCAAAAGCTGGGAGCAACACACGGGGCGCATCTTGAAAAATCACCTTTCAGATAGTGGCCCTGGGCAAAAGAGCACCTTTCTTCGTGCTTGATCTTGAAGGAACAATCCTCAAAATAAAAGAAACGCAGGCACCACTCAAGTCTGGCAGGTCCTGGCAAATGAAACACCCTTTTTCCGGCCTGAGATGGCTTCTTCGTGCGGAGCGTGGTCGGCATGAAGCGAGCCTCGAATAGAAATGGCTGAATTTCCGAGGATGCAAGTGAAGCATCGACATCCAGATACAAACCACGTGCAGATTGCGGGAGATTGCAGGGATTCCCTAACCCCACCCCCCGCAAACTTGCAATGCTTGGAGCGTCCATTGAAGCTTGAAGGAACTGGTTCAAGTTTACCGCGCCTCAAGGATCAAGGAAGAGACCAGCCTCGAGTTTGGTCATACCCACGGTAAGAAACTAACAAACCCTCATCGAACATGCATGTGTCGAAGGTACGAGTGCCATTAGGCTCCAACCAGATTTCCAACCAGTACAATCACCGCCCCGGCCGTAGCGCACCTAAGTTTGGCTTTTTCCACGAATGGATGCTTCGTGGGCTAAAAAGGGAAGCGGCAATTAAGGGAACCCTCTCTTAAGTCTGAAGGGGAAGCCCCCTGCCTGGTCTGAAAAAAAGAACACAACCGCTCATTCCCATGCTTCAAATCGTTGATGTCATCTTCATTCCTCGTCAGAACCGTAGCCAAAAAGGAATCTGGAAACACGCACGCACCCACAAACAAGCATACATGCAAGCAGGCAGGCAAGCAGAAAAGCAGTGAAGCAGGAAGCAAGGAAGCAAGGAAGCAAGGAAGCAAGGAAGCAGGGAAACAAGGAAACAGGGAAGCAAGGAAACAAGGAAGCAAGGAAGCAAGCGAGCACACAACTACACGCAGCGCAGTTCCCTTTAAAACTATTCAACAAAGTGTCTAGTATAGAAATCGCGCAAGAGGTTCCCTCATTTTGATTTGGTCAATCAACAGGAAGTCACGAACCCCCTGTCTATGCATGATCCTTGTACCCAGCCAAGGCAAACCATGGAACATGAACAAACAAGAGGCATCCTTCATTGGTATATTGAATCGTGGGTGTTCACCAGGTAGGCCCCGAGCTGCTGCAAATGAAGCGGCGCTGGCTGCGCCTGGAAGGAACAGGGACCTTACCACCAAAGCGTTAAGCAGGAATGACCCTGGCGTCCTTTTTGGAAAAATAAACATGAGCCATTTAGCAACACAGAACCCCCCATCGGAAAGTTGTCTTCCGAACGGGGTCTGTGTACTTCCGTGTTTCCATGTTTCAATGTGAGGGTATCTTTTGTCCCTTAGAAGCTCGGTGAAAACAGACTTCTCCAAAACCTCCCTGTATTCTCAAAATTGAAATTGGGTTGAGAGGGCCCGAGCCTTGCGGGCAAAAGACTCACTGCAGTGGGGCCAACCCTCGGAGAAAAGCGCTCATCGCGACTGGATCTTGTGGTTTCCTTTTGGTATGTGGCAGCCAGTTTAAACAGCTTTTTCGTGTTGAAACCAGGGGCCAAATAGGCCAGGGGCCGAAACCTATTTGGCCCCTGGCTCTTTGTGCAGCTGGATGGCCGCATGCAGAGCGCCTTTCTTTTTGCCCGCTGTGATCTCGGTCTCTGCTTTCTGTCGATGGACAAAGGTCTTGGGGTTCTCCGAGTTCATTCGGCCCTAGGGCCCCAAGCTGCAAGGGTTCTTCGCGAGGCACGTCACGATGCCAGTGCCCGGCGACGCCTCTTGACCTACGCACTGGAGGTAGATGTCGGTCTGGCCCGCCCTCTCCTTGGAGTCTCCAATCACTTTAGATCCCCCGCAAACACCTGAACATCAAAAAAATGGTGGTAAATGGATGTTCCACCCCAATATGGAGCCATGGGTTAAGAAATATGGTGGCCACATGGAACCTTTCAAACACCATCCACTAAACAAAAAATGAAATGGTCTGGGGATTGGCCAAATGTTGAGTCCCCCAAGCTGCAAGGGTACGTAGAGGATTCCATGCGCAGGCCATCTACCGAATTTCAGGATACAACCTGACTCATATTCAAAACCATGGTAGCACGGTGGTCTACCCAAAACCCGTGGCAAAGAAGCAAAAGGGAGGCCGCACGTATTTCTTGTTTGGTCACTTACCCAGGCTTGTAGACTCAGCGGCTCATCTGAAGCAGCCAAGTCTCGTAGAAGTTGCCGCACGTCTCATCCTTGATGGTGTCGCAGGCCTGAGTCGGCGAACTGGGCTTCTATCTTCCACTTTGACTGCTCTGACACTTTCCGCCTGGAAACCCGTCTCACATTGCATCAAACAGGCGAGCGCGTGCGTGCGTGTCTGTTTTAAAAAACTTCTCCAAATATCCAATTTACAAAAGGGTCCGTGTTGAAACGGAGGCCGCTTTGAGGGAGCAATTTGGGGTCGGGGGGTTGTTGGTTGTTGAGTGGTGGTTGTGGGTGAAATTGTTGCTGGGTGGTTGTTGGGATTGTTGTTGGCGCCGGTCTGCCATTGCGTGCAAACTACCGCGTTTCGTGGGCCCAGCCGTTCAATTGCACCTGCTCAGCACTGCGCACATGCCTCACTCACTCACTCACTCACTCAACTCAACTCAACTCAACTCAACTCAACTGAACTGAACTCAACTCAACTCAACTCAACTCAACTCACTCATTGACTCATTGACTCATTGACTCATTGACTCATTGACTCATTGACTCATTGACTCATTGACTCATTGACTCATTGACTCATTGACTCACTCACTCACTCACTCACTCACTCACTCACTCACTCACTCACCTATCCTCACCTCACCTCACCTCACCTCACCTCACCTCACCTCACCTCACTCACTCACTCACTCACTCTCTCTCTCTCACTCTCTCACTCACTCACTCACTCACTCTCTCTCTCTCTCACTGTCACTCTCACTCTCACTCTGACTCTCTCACTCTCACTCTCACTCTCACTCTCACTCTCACTCTCACTCACTCCCTCGCTCTCGCTCTCTCACTCTCACTCTCACTGTCACTCGCTCTCACTGACTCACTGACTCACTGACTCACTGACTCACTGACTCACTCTCTCACTCTCTCACTCTCTCACTCTCTCACTCTCTCACTCTCACTCTCTCACACTCTCACACTCTCACACTCTCACACTCTCACACTCTCACACTCTCACACTCTCACACTCTCACACTCTCACACTCGCACACTTGCACACTCGCACACTCTCACACTCTCACTCTCTCACTGTCTCACTCTCTCACTCTCTCACTCTTTCACTCTCTCATTCTCTCACTCTCTCACTCTCTCACTCTCTCCCTGTCTCACTCACTCACTCACTCACTCACTCACGCACGCACGCACGCACGCACTCACTCACTCACTCACTCACTCACTCCCTCCCTCACTCACTCACTCACTCACTCACTCACTCACTCACTCGCAAAGACACACACACACACACAAAACAACTTTCAAGTCTGACGCACAGGAGAGCAAATACTGATTGGTGCCCATTCGCTTCTTGCCAGATTTACTTCTTGCCACCCTAGCAAATTCTCGCCATCTCAGGCGTATTTCTTAAGGCTCACCGCGACAATCATTTGCCAGGCATGTGCGCATCGAGCGGGTGCTCATCCCTCTTTGACAGTGAGTGAGTGAGTGAGTGAGTGAGTGAGCGAGCGAGCGAGCGAGTGAGGGAGAGAGTGAGTGAGTGTAAGTGTGAGTGTCAGTGTGAGTGAGTGTCAGAGTGAGAGTGAGAGTGAGCGAGTGAGGGCGTGCGTGCGTGGGCGGGCGGGTGCGTGAGTGGGTGGCGTGGAGTGGGGAGCCATCAAGCGAGTTCGAATTGGGGAGCCATCAAGCGAGTTCGAAAGTACCGAGACTTTTTCGGCACTTGTTTCATCAGCAACTCAGGATTCATCCCAATGACACACTTCAGGCCGCTCTCAACCTTGGGGTCGATTGGATTTTGACGTGAGAGACCTGAGACTTGTTCATTGGGCAATACGTTCCTTCAGTGGACCCGGGTCGCGGTGCCGGGTTGCCTTTAGGCTGCCCTTGCAACATCGAAGAAGAAAAACCTCCCCCCCCCCCCCATGGGAAACACGCATACTTTGAGATTCCGGTTGCCCACGCTTCACACTGGAGTTGGTGGAAGCCAACCAGCCTCGCCTTCCCACAAATGCCCAAAACGTACATATTGACAAGTCACAAAGTCGTCGCCATCCCTGTTCAGCAGCGCTCCCTTGCACAGGCTTCCCTGCGACGAGACAAGCGTCGCACTCGTGGCTCAGCCGATCCGACGCTGATTTGACAGGCCCCTTTCAGATCCAAAGAAGATCCGCGATTTGTCCCACGAGGGCTGTCAAACTAGAAACCACGAAACGAGTCATGTCAGCAAACAGGAAAGTTTGTGTGCGTTCCGTTCTCACAACTGCGCATGAATTTCGGCAGACACAACTTGATTGGTTCGTGTCGCGCTGCTTTCTCTACGGAGCGAACACGCATGAAAGACCTCAGCCTGCGGGGCATGACTTCCGCTTCTTCAACAAACCAACGCTCTGCAGATGGTCCTTTGTTGTAAGATCGCTGCAAAGCCGCGCAAGGTTGGAAGGCTGCCGCAAGATCTTTGAGACCAGCCTCTTTCGCTGACAGAACTCCCAGGATGTTTTTGGCAGGATCCCAGTGAGGACCCCGGGCCACAGCGAGGCAGATCCACCCAAAGTACACAAACGGTGCACACATACATGTTTGCACCAAACCCGTGCACTGCAGCGAGAGGCATGCACGATAGAAGTTATGAAGGGGTTCTGCGAAATCAAATGCGCTTTCGGAGTTCCCAAAACAGCATGCAAGCCGGCGCAGTGAACATCGTGCGTGTGTTGCGGGGAAGTGCAAAATTGAACCCAGGCCCCTTTCCTTCACTGTAAGACCCCCTTCATGTGGAACACTCTCAAATCCTCCATGCCTAGCGCCCAAAATTGACTTTTTGGTTCGAAACCCAACATGCTTACAAAGGTGTATCAAGGCTTCACTACTTGTCCAACCACAACGCAACAAGTATATCCATATTCCCTTGTCCTAGACAAAGTTAAAGGCTCAGCCAAACAGCATTCAGGTAGTGGGCCGCCAATAGCCGGTGTGGACACGGAAGCACCCTCCCGCGCCTCTGGAACCAGCACCGCCTTAGTGCCATCGTCTCCGATCTTCGTCCAGCCACTGTGGGCCGTCATCTTGATGATGTCCTGGGTCCACAGACTGTCCCCGCCACCGCGGCAATAGACGTTGTCGCCTCGCCGGCAAATCGATTCAGCAATGCCAGCACAGCCCCCCTCCCGCCTTTTGTTTGGTTTCCAAGGTGGCCATCATGTCAGCCCTCGTTGCGACAGGGCCTCAGATTGAAGGATAAAGGAGCCCACTATGGAGGATAACAAAAGGAGTTCCCCTACCTGAGGAAACCTAATATGGTTGCCACACAGCAACCGCTCTTTGCTGGGTGGCAACTGATCCAATACCAGATTTCGAAGCTTTTTAGGTCATTTCTTTCAGGTTCGGAGCAAGCCCGTTTTCCTTGACAAACAAAGATTCAGTTCAATCCAAAGAGCAGTCGCTCAGAAAACCCCTTGTTGGTTTGTTTCTTCAGCAAACCGGCAGGTGACTGCGGGCATTTCTAGGGAAACCTTTCGTCTCGTGTACAGACAAACCGTGAAACATGCAACTGTGCAAGCCAGAAAGCCGGCAAGCCAGCCAGCCAGCCAGCAAGCCATCCAACCAAACAAACACACACACACACACGACAAACAAACAAACAAACAAACAAACAAACAAACAAACAAACAAACAAACAAACAAACAAACAAACAAACAAACCCAACCAACCAACCAACAAATAAACAAACAAACAAACAAAACAAACAAACAAGCAAAAACACAAACAAACAAACACACAAACACACAAACACACAAAACAAACACGTGCGACAAGACAAGACAAAACAACAAAGCAAAACACAACCAATCACAGCAACACAACCACACAACCTCACAACCGCACAAACACAGACTCGCAAGCACACAAACACACACACACAAACACAAGCAAGCAAGCAAGCAAGCAAGCAAGCAAGCAAGCAAGCAAGCAAGCAAGCAAGCAAGCAAGCAAGCAAGCAAGCAAGCAAGCAAGCAAGCAAGCAAGCAAGCAAGCAAGCAAGCAAGCAAGCAAGCAAGCAAGCAAGCAAGCAAGCAAGCAAGCAAGCAAGCAAGCAAGCAAAAGCAAGCAAGCAAGCAAGCAAGCAAGCAAGCAAGCAAGCAAGCAAGCAAGCAAGCAAGCAAGCAAGCAAGCAAGCAAGCAAGCAAGCAAGCAAGCAAGCAAGCAAGCAAGCAAGCAAGCAAGCAAGCAAGCAAGCAAGCAAGCAAGCAGCAAGCAAGCAAGCAAGCAAGCAAGCAAGCAAGCAAGCAAGCAAGCAAGCAAGCAAGCAAGCAAGCAAGCAAGCAAGCAAGCAAGCAAGCAAGCAAGCAAGCAAGCAAGCAAGCAAGCAAAGCAAAGCAAGCAAAGCAAGCAAGCAAGCAAACTAACAAAGCAAGAAAGAAAGCAAGCAAACAACCAGACAATCAAATAAATACAACAAACAAACAAATACTTCTCCTGACATTGCTTTTTCAAAACCAACCGCCAGCCCCATAAACAACCAAATGCCTGTAGATGATGATCAGCCAACACATGCAGCCAAGTTTGCGATCTTCCCACTCCAATGTTGCCCAATGTGCATAATATGCGTGCGCGTGCGCACGTGTGTGCATGCGAAGATGAGTGGGCGCGTGGGTGCGTGGGTCGGTGCGTGCGTGCGTGCGTGTTTTGTGGCTACCAATTTCACCTTAATGCTCCCATTTTTGAGCCCCCCTTATTCCTAAGTACACACCCATCTGTTCCTTGTTACCCTTTCTTGGACGCGATGTGATTCACAGCCACAGTATGAGGAGCCATATCAAGTTAATTATCCTGAATGATGCTCAATAGGTCCAAGCAGGTTTTCAATTGACCCTACTATTAGAATCCCTCGTAGTTGTATGGCTCTGAATCTAGATGACTCTTCGCTCCTGCCTCGGATGGAGATGTCCCAGCATGCTCCGCTGTACGGAAGGCTGATCCAATCCGAGGCATCTGTCATGCTGCCTGCAGAAGCGAGAAACGCAAAGCCAAGATGGCGGGATTCTCTGAAGAAAGAGAGTTGCTGGGATCCACTTTTGGGAGTCCCCCGTACTCCAAATACCCGCTTGTTTGAGAGAGCATACTTTGAGAAGTTAACAACAAATGCCTCATATGAGCTCCTATTTCCGTGAGGGGTTAACATCATATCTTCAAAAGGTGGGTACTTGGAGTTGTTGGTCTTTCTTGTTGCATGGTTCTGTTTTTGGGTGGGGGGTGGGGGAGGATGTGTTAGCGACAAAAGGAACCTCAGAAGCATTGCTCGAAGCTGCTTTTCCTCACGGGCCCGATGTCAGAACTGTCAGAGGAGCTCATTTCGGCTCTTTGCAAGGCCATACTCACTAGGCTGCTGATGAGCAAGCGGTCAATCTGAAAACTTGGCTTGAATGTGTCATGCCGGACCTATGATTTTGCCATTGTGGAAAGTTATGCCCGAAGTGATAGGCAGGGACATGAGTAACCAACAACATTGTAACCAACAACATTGCCATCAACAAACGAGAGGGGCCTCCATAGTTCCTCAATCGCCTGGAACTCCCACAAACCTTCCGGACCATCCGAATTTCATGCATGAAACTCTACGCCGGAACCCTACCCCAAATCGAACCAGGACGTGTCCTGACATCGGTAACATGCTCCCTGCTCCCAGCAAGGAGTGAGAGGGCCTTGAAGTCAAAAGCCCTGGACCTTTTTCTAAAATATTGCTAAATCATCCAAAGCTGCTGATAGGATCAGAGAGCTTGAACATCTTTTGGGAGCTGTCCAAGCCGTAGATGGTGCCAGAAGACTTGTGGATCGCGAGCTTGTGAAGACTTCCTTTACCAATGCCTCACGTGTAACCGAGGCAAGACATGGAAAACCAAAGGATTGAAAGATGGACAAAAAACCAAGAGGACAATCAAACGGTTCAAATGTCGATTGCACACAACTGAGATGCACTTCTTCCAGTCGGTCTGGTCCGTCATCTCGCTGATCTTTTGGCAGTAGACCTTGCCATCCTCAGACGTCGTTGGGATCAAATGCATAAACATGCCACACCTCACATGTTGGCTGTCCGGAAACATAAACACGTACCGATCTTCCTGTGATTTCCATTTGGGTAAATTGAAGAATAATTAGGTCTGCCGGTCTGCCTACTGGGTTTTTGTGCGCCTGAAGAAGGGCAGGGAAACCAACAAAAACCAGCCATTGGTCTGATCGTTTAGAGGCTCGGAGCCGCAGAAGCCCTGGAGTTTCAAACTTTCAGCGGCCCGCAAAGGTGTCCGGATGCGTCGCAGCAACACAGAAAACAGCAACTGACTATCCAATCTCTTTCCCAAGGAGTGGGCTGCGACTGGTCGGTCCCTGTAAGCGCTTGCTCAATACGTTGAGGGTGACTCACCCGGACCTCCGGTGGCCACGGACAAGCACGGGCACCCGATTTTGGTTGACACAAGGAAGCCCCTCCAGCCGGCACCACTTGATGTGTGCTTGCAATCAATGGGAACGTGACTCAAGGCATAAAAACAACCATGGTGTGAGGTGGTCAACGCTGTCATTCGCTGCACATCCAAAAAACTACACTGACAGGGTTTCCTCCATTTCCCGTTTTGGAACCTGCAAACGTGGCAGCTTTACCACAAGCAGGTTGCAACTTTTGCGGGGGACGTGCAGGTGACACCTGACTGAGCAATTGCTCACATGTTGCAAACTCCGAGACGGCTCCAAGCCAGCTCGTTCTGACCTGCTCAATTGACTGGCCAGAAAAAGCTTGAACAATTTAGGCTTCAACCGACATCACCCAACAAGAGCTTGAACGTCAGCAGGTACAACTAGCAAGTTGCGTGGTAACTGGGAAGCCCGCAAGGGTCTAAATCAGTAGAGTATAGGCTTGGTGTACTTCAAAACCCGGAAACTTCGCCATTGATACGTTGGTAAGATCTCAGTGGACAGAGGGAAATTCTGGGAGCAAACAATTGGTAATTCCTACCATTTGCTCATGTGCGTGTTTTGTCGTTACAAACACACGCAACCCCTGTTCAGTGTCTGCCCCAAAACCCAGTCAGTAAGACTTTCTTTCGCCCCCTTTGAGCCAAAACTCCTCTGAAACTCCGAAGAAGGTCCCCTCGGCCGCATCTCCGCCAGTGAGTTTGCCCTTGCTCGCCAAATGCCAGGTCGTAGATGGGCTCCTGGGCTCGCC